AATTTTTGAAATTTTTACAATGCGAAGTGAATGTCGACGGTGGAAGGGAGTTTTACATAAGAAGGTTGGTTATGTCTGTATGTAAATTGAGTATTGTAAACATTATTGATAAAGAAACTTTGAGTGCAAGTGAGAAAAGAAGCAGCAGTGAAATGGAAGTTGATGAGCGAAGAGGATAAAGAACCTTATGTAAAATTGACAGAGAAACACAAAATATATATATATATATAATGTATGGAGGAGTGCACATGAAAAGAATGTATTCCTTGTACTTTAACAATTATATAAACTTGTAACCTTTATTATAAAGGTAACATAACAATTTATTTTGTTTTTAAATAAATGTAGGAAGTGTCGACAAGATATAACTTTAAAAGATTGCATGAATTGATGGAAGATATAGAAGGAAAGGAAAAATTGAATGTTAAAGAATTAGGATTTGATATTTTGATTGAGGTAAAGACACAACCAATTCGTAGGGAATTGTGTTGGAAGTTGATAGAAAATTTTGATATTAAAAACCGTAGAATCAGGACTATAAGACAAATTAGGTTGCGCCTTTAAACGAGTGAATGAAATGAAAATTCAAAATAAATATGTAAAAACCCTAAATGAAATGAAAAACAACCCCAGAATCAATTTTATAAGTAAGACAAAATCAGATTGATGTGTTTGAAGTCTTTCTTATTATGCAAACCTAAGGAAAAACATTTTTTAAGTATAACATTATAGGTAGCGCATTTTTTACTTATTCATCGTTTATGTTATACGTTTGAAACCTTTTATATTTGAACAAAAGTAAGATAGAACATATTTATAAGTTTACCATTGTAGATTGCACATTCTTTTAATTAGAAACTGTTAAGATTATTTGTTTCAAACCATTTTTATTAGGAAACAATACAACAAAACATGTTGATAAGTCTAACATTATAGTTAACACCTTTTTTTAATTGTCAACTGTTTAAGTTATATGTTTGAAACTTTTCATATTATGCAAAAGTAAGACTAAACAAGTTTATAAGTATAACATTATAGGATGCACGTTTTTTAAATTGTCAATCGTTAAAATCATATGTTTCAAACCGTTTTTTATTATGGAACAATCAGACAAAACGAGTTTATAAGTCTAACATTATAGGTTGCGTCGTCTGAATTATTATTTTTACTATTTTATTTACAGTTTATTATTTAAAATTGATTTAGTTGTTGCTGCATGGAGGAGTAATTAATAGAAACAATCCCAATATTTATTTGAAATCAAAACTTAGGTTGTAACATTTTACAAAAATAATTTGAAATCAAAACTTAAGTTGTAACATTTTACAAAACAAACTTGCTTCATGATCCCAAAAATAAGAACCATAACAAGTGCAGAGGTTGGCCCTTGGTTATCAAATTTGGTCGACTAAGTTACAAGGACAATTCTTATCACAATTGTAGTCGATTAGTTTTGGATCGAAAACCTCAATATTATTGCGGCACCATGACATTAAGACTACAAACCTTCAAATCTCTGAATAAATATTTTTTAAATTTATTTTCTTATGATTGACGAGATTGAAAGCTTTCCCGATTCGAAGTCCTCTTAATTCCTCAAGTTTGGAACAAATTTGAAACATTTCATGGACATATATGGCTTTATTATTATTTTTATCCACTGCTTTCTTCAAACAATGCAGTCTAGACTCCGGGTTCTTTCCACTAAAATAAGCATACATACATGTTATGTATAACGCTTCATGATTATTACTAGCTTTCCATCTTTTTTGAAAATTTATATAGGTTTGAGTCCATGAAATGATATTGATATTCTTCATTCAAACATTGTGATAGATGTAGTCGTCTTCGAAGCTTCAGGAAATGTCTTACAACTCAATTGAATATTGAGGAAATCGATGATAGAATTAGACGCCACATACATTAGATTTTTTTACAACAATTCCTTTGGGATTGATTCCACAATATTACAACATTTTTTTTTTTTGCCATTGAAAGAGATAATTACTACAAACCTTAAACCTAAACCCAAATTTATAATAGCCCTCGCACCTTATGATTGACATCATTTCATTGGGATACTGTGTTTTTTAATGACCATTAATTGAGTATGAGACGATTTAATGTTTTTATTTCCATTGGACCCAAATCCCAACTGACGATTCACCCACAATTTCCCCAATTGTATTGATCTTTTAATAAACATTTCTAATTTTTCATTGGTGAGACTTTTTAAACTATTTAATTGAATTGAGAAGGCTTTTGAAACGATTTAATTTAAAATTTTGATCTTTTTATAATCGTTTTCATTTTTTACAAGTATCGATCACTAATACACTTTCAATCATACAACTTTTTCAATATTTCAAAGTATCGATAATTTTATATAACATATTGATATTTAATATTTCGATCTTTTTTTTTTTAATTTTTTGTGTGCAATTGTATTCCTTAATTATATTCGTAACATTTTAAGATTTTTACTTATTTTCTTTCAATTATAATTAAAATGTATCGATCATTACAACATATGTATCGATGTTTTCAATATCGATATTACCTTCAAATTTTTGATATTTAAAAGTATCGATAATAATGTACTTGGTACCGATATTTTGAATTTCGAACTATTTATTATTTTGTTTGGGCAAAAACTATTTTATTAATCTAAATATTAACATAACATATCGCAACCGAAATTTTTATTTAAAACCTTGACATTTTTGTGCTCAATCTATTTTATAAAAAAATATTAACATTACATTGCATATCACAACATACTTTGTTAGTAAACCATAACATTTTTTGGATTAACCTATTTTATTATTTAAACTATTAACATTACAGATCACAACCTATTTCTTAGTAAACCATGACATTATTGGACGCAATCGTATTTATTATATATATTCATAACATTTTTCAGTTTTTACCTTATTTTCTTATCGTGGGAAAATCCAAGACTCCATCAACTTAAACTCTAATAATATTTTAGGCGCAAGCCATTTTATTATTAAAAATATTAAGATTTGTGGTTGCAACCTACTTTCTCTAAAACGATGACATTCTTAGTCACAATCTATTTTATTGATAAAAATATTAACATAATATATCGTAACATATTTCTTAGTGAACCATGACATTATTGAGCGCAACTGTAGTTATTATAACATTTTAAGCTTTTAATTTATTTTTTTTATCGTGTGAAACTCCAATGCTCTATCAACTTAAACTTTGATGATAATATTCTATTATTAAAATAGTAATATTCTAGATTGTAACATGTTTTCTTATTGAACCATAACATTCTTAAGTGTAACCTATTTTATTAATAAAATTACTAATATTACAAATCACAACATGTTTCTTATTGAACAATGATAGTATTGGATGCAACCGTATTTATTATACATACTTATAATATTTTAAGCTTTTAACTTATTTTTTTATCGTGGTAAATTAAAAAATCTCTATCAACTTAAACTCTGATAACGTTTTAGGGGTAATCCATTTTATTATTTAAAATATTAAGATTTCATATTACAACCTCCTTCCTTACTAAAACAAGACATTATTGGACACAACCGTTTTTTATATATGTTTGTAACATTTTTAGTTTTAAAATTATTTTCTTATCGTAGAAAATTAAAAGGCTCAATCAGCTTTAACTCTGATAACATTTTCGACGCAACATATTATGTTAATTGTATTCATAACATTTATCGTTTATAATTTAATTTCTTATCTTTTATAACATTATACTAAAACTTGTTATGTTACTCCGTCTAATAAGTATCTTGATTCCAAGTTATAACATTATCGGTCGCGTTTTTAACCTGTAACCTTTTTTACCGGTCACACAATTTATTAATCTTATTTTAGGCGCCTCGCAACAGAACTCCCCAAATTTTACTCATCCCGAGATTTGAATATAATTCACTCTCATCTCAATCTGAATTGAATAAAATATAGTATAATTTTATTATTCTTTTAATGATTTTTTCTGTAACCAAACAAAAAATTAGAACAAAAATGAAAAAGTTTATCGCAATCGGCCCTTCGAGGGAAAGACCGTTTAGAATGATTTTGAAATTAAATGTTTGGGAGTTTCCACCAATCATTTTTAAGGTGCGATTGGAACACAAAAAATCAGGTAATTTTAATAAAATATTTTATTTTATCAAAAATATCAAATTAAGATCTACAAAAATAAAAAATCGGATTCGGGAGTCGATTACATGAGGGAAATGATTAACACCCCCACATCACCTAGAAATTGGTACCTAGTCATTTAACCTATATTTAAGAATTTGAAATTTTTGAGTTTGAGAATTTATTTTACTTAAAATTCAATATGAATGCATATTTGAGAAAATATGTAGGTTTAAGAAATTATGATGCGAGGTTTTGAAAAAGATATTTACCTACTTCGAAAATTACTAGTAGTCACCCCTCGAGCATAACGGGAAAAATATACTATTAATTTCCTAATAAGTGAACATTGTCTTGTTTTAAAAAATCAAATGTAATCATACAATTATTTATGACCTAATTATACTAGGTGAGTTAATTAAAGGCTTTCATAACTTAAAGTGTCAAATTATGACCAATTTCCTTCACAGCTCAATCAAACGGACCAAAATAAAATAAAATTCCAATATTCAACCTAACATTAATGTACCCAAAAAAATCCATAAAATGAAAAGATAACCGTGTGAATGTACATAAAGGGGATCTCAATCAGATGGCATCTATCCATTTATGAAATATTTACAACCATTGAACTTGAAAGTTAAAACCCCGATGGCGTTCTGCATATTTGAGGCAGACAGCTCCAAACGGAATTAGCTATGGTACCAATTTACACCAGCCAACTCTTTATCACCTTCTTCCACTCCTAATGATCTCATCGTGATTAATGCAGACGTATCGGGTATAACACGAGCTGAAAATTGTTCTCAATTCGGAAGAAGCCACACCCCTTCTGAATCTTCAGCAGATTTTTTTATTACTTCGAAACGGAATCACATCCTTCGGATGGATTCATTGAAATGAATTCTATCATGAAACTACAACTACCTACTTCAACTTAAAGTTTAGTGGAAAAAGCAAATCTCCATTAATGACCCAATCCATAAAGCTCTCCGAATATTCATCCATGATACCATCACATGTCAGATCGGATGCAGTTCGGTCAACTCCCTAAATAAAGAGAAAAAGAAGAGATTGCTTTCAACTATACACCTAGTTAATAAAGAAATATTCTGTGTATATACAGCCTGCAAACATGTGCTTTATCTGTGTGCATGGGTGATGGAAGGGTGCAGTAATTTAGTTCTCGTTCATTTGTTACAAGAAAACAGAATACTGACCTTTATGCTAGAACCAGATTCACTTGGAGACGTAGCTGAGTCGATTCTTAGTTCACCACCAATAATTTCAGCGGATAGGCCAGTGGTAGACCTGCAGAAAAAATCAAGAGGTGCTATAGAAAATCTGGTATATAAGTGTTACTATTTCTATGAAAAAATATTGTGAACTTTTAACTAATTGAAAAAGGTTAATGAAGTTGACTTTTAACTACCTGTCATACACATCATCATCACATGAATTTCCTGATGAAGAAATCCAGTCCATATCAAAATTGGTGCAATTACATTCATCCACATTTTCATAACATATGCGATTACTATCAGGAAATTGGTCCTGCATATCTCCGAAAAGTAGCCTGCAGGACATTCTTGGAGTGAACCTAGAAAACCAGAAAAATTTTGGTATATGAGACATCTGATGAATTAAAACATTTAAGGTGATTTGGTATCATGGGTCCTTGATACAAGCAAAGAATTACTCTCAAAAGAAATCTGAAACAAGATTGGGAGAAAAAAAAAGTTCAAACAGACCTCGAATAAGAAATGTCACGATATGGCATTCCTGGAGTGGAATCTGAAAGAGCATAGGTAGCTTCGTCTTTATTTCCAGACAGAGACTGATGGTGTCTGACATTTGTCGCACCCATGGGAGAAAGGATGCTGCCATCAGACAGTGATCTTTTAAAAGATGTCCTACAGATATTAGGAAGCGGCCTCATTAGTGGTTATTGCAAGGAACATTAGGTTTACTCTATTAAAATAGGAAAGAATATTGCTTAAGACCTGCATATTGTATCTGGAAATCAAATCATTTGGCAATATGTAGTCCCAAAAAAATTATTGGAACTAGAAAAAATCTATAGCAATTTGAAATTTCAATATACCTAGCATCCTCGTTAAAAAGGTTAGGGCCATGCCTTCCAACGCTATAGTGCTGGTCTGAATCCAACTCCCAGAGTGCTGGTTTACCCTGTTGAGGCTGAAAGTGACCCAAGAACCTGCATAGGACCATGCCAAAATCATCAAGTGTTATTATACACCACAATCCTTATGCACTGAAAGTGCACTTGGTAACATGGTATAGTGTAATGGGAGTGAGTCCTCATTGCACTGGATCCTCTGTGCTACCAAGCACGGTATCATAATTGTCAGGGTCTGCAATTTGCATGAAACTACATTTTGTTAGCTATAGTAACTGGTTTTTAACTTACAAATTAATGGCACTTTGTTTTTCTGCATCCACGTATGCATTGCTATAGTAACGTTGCAAAGTCCTAAAGAACTCCTGTGACTGAGTTGCCGCTTGCCATTGACCTCTCCTTTGGCAAAATATCTGTTTGACATGACCAATGCAGATTAAGGAAACATACTTGGGGAAAAACTTTTGGGTTTCAGTGCAAGTAAAGACAGATAATGATCTATTGCTCTGAAGCAAACTAGTAAGCTCTGTTGTCATGATACTATGCAAGTCATTCCCATGTTACTCCTACAAAGTTTCAGGGTTTACTATGCCATCTAAAAAAACTAAAAACTAATTTGATGGTTTACTCCTACAAAGTTTTTTTTATTATTTATTTCTTCAAGTTCTTTTGGAATGATTATAAAAGCTCCCTAAATCTCTCAGAAGAATACCTTGTTGTGGGCTGCAGATCCACCATATTGAAGAGCAAGTGTGTCACCCATTTTTTCATAAACTACCATTAAATCCTCAGCCAAAGGACTATTTTGATCAATAGTTAGGGACTCTGTGAATCCCATAGTATGGAGCTGGCGTCCAAGAGCCATCAAACCATAAGAATATTGTGCAACATTAGTGCGATCTAGACAATCAATGCAGTTGGTTCTAAGGACTCCCTTTTGGAACATGGGAGACTTTACATTTTCCGTAGAATTCTGTTTACCACCATCAACATTCATTTCCAACTTATCAATATCATCACTTTTATCGGAAGGGGTCTGATCAATGTGCTCATCATTTTGCCTGCAAAAGATTTGCAACCAAAGTTGTATAAATAATTAAACGTCAATAATTAGAAAAAACAATAGTGAAACAAACATTAAAGAAGGTTATATTTTTCAAGGAAAAAACAAATGCAAACCATAAGTTACATATACGAATATGACGTTCGTTCTAGCAGTAATTATAGGTTGAGATAATCATGAAAGAAAGGGACTTGATAACAAAGACAAGCAATCCAGCATCATAAAAATAAGATCATAACATCTACTACTTACACCAAGCAAGATAAATTCAACAACCCCTCAGGTATACGATTTGGTGTTACTTGACAGTAAAAGATGCCCGTTAAGTTTAATGCATAATCAGCCACTCTGCCTAGAAGTTCCAACACATTTGTAGCTCTGCAAAAAGTAAAAAGCTCTATTCAGTCAATCATCTTTTAAAAGATGGTATGCAAGAATTTTGCTTTAAAAAGTCAAGCAGGGACAAAGGAGTACTTTCTGGAGTGTCTACTTAGGTCCCAGTGAAGAAACCGCAGACGGTTTTCCTTGGATAAACTTTTATTGATAGATCTGATGGCCTTTGCAAACTCCGTACGAAGAATAGTTTCCCGAGGTTTCTTCTCACACCTCTGTCAATCACCAGAAAAGAAAGCAGAACGAATCAGGAAACATTGCAGATAGAAGAACATCACAGAGCTTATGAAGACTGCCAGTCTGCCAAGGACTACCTTTATCAAATTCAATATGATTATTGGATTTCCATATCTCCTTGCAAGATTTTCAAAATGTAGTTTTGTGGCCTCATAATTTGGATCCTTCTGTGATACTGGAAACAAGAGGTGAAATTAGGAAAATATACTGTTCTTAGAACGTAAAACTACAGGTTTAGCGCTCATTTTGGTATTCAATAAGGAAAAATTCATACATATGATGTCAGGCTTCAAATTCAAGCGCGAAGTTTCCTGGGACCAGAATAGTGGGATAGAACCTCTATTCTGGACAACGGAACTTATTTGTGTGGGGCATCCTTCAGGAACATCATCAAACACAATTTGTTCTGTCTCAACATCATTTGCTACTCTACCTTTCTCATTCACACCGCGTTTCAAATATCTACACAACAGAAAAGATATAAGAAAGTGAGCCAACTCTGACTAAAGATCAGCAACAAAAGCAGATGGAATCAATCATATGAAGGGAGATAAAACAGACTAGAACTCAAAAATAGGCAAAGAAATCATAAGTAGGTCAAATCATGAAGCATTTGACAATGAAAACTACCACAAAACATATTTTGTAATGATTGTGGACCAAAATAAATGGAAAAGGGAGGTTTAAAATAATGCAATAGACATTTCAATCAGTAGCTGGTAAAGCATCTAAACCTTGTTCCAGCATAATGTCGAGAACGCCTTGCAATGAGGGTTAATTTAATGTCCCTGCCAGATACAGAAAGTTTGACCTGGATAGCAAAGTAGAAAAAAACAAATGTCAGATAAAAAATTTGTGCCATGCCTCAAAACTCAAAAGGAAACAACAATATTTGCTAACGTGTTCAGCATAAGTTGAAAGAATGAACCTGCATTATTTAACACCTTTTGTTACTTCATTTTAAACATGTTCAACAACAGATTTGTAAATGGGGTAGGTAGTTTTGCATAATCCTTAAGATTAATTACAATATAATGCCCATCAATAAAATAAAACTCGAAGAAATTACAAATCTGACGGTCCTAGTATCGATAATCATAAATCTAGCTTCCACATCAAAAACTTCCAAAACTGCTGAACTTAGTAATGGGTTAAAGGTTATCCAGATTCCTGTAAAGCAACAAGTTTTAAGCAGAAACAAATACAAAAAAAAACTGAATGAAAATAAAAATTAACTACTTCAACTTAACAATCTTCTAGCATAGCAAATACTTCCATTTTCACCTAACATGGAAAATTAATGGACAGGAAGAGGACTAGAGTGTATCATACCTGCTTGAAAAAGCCATATACCAGTGCGACAGTCCACAGAGTATTCTTGAGATTATTCCGGATTCCTCGAGTTAAGAACTCATTCCAGACAAACATTGTTTCATAATGCGCTAATCCTGTCTCATTCTTACATAAATTTCTTTGGAGGCTATGCATGATATTGTACGAGTAGCTGAAAAAGAAGTCCTTTGTAAGATCCACTGTGCACAGGAGCTTCTTGTATCTATTACAAAAAGGGCAAAGAAGAAAGAAAGAAAGAAAAGGCATTCCACGTTAATGAACGCTAGTTACTAGATGAACCAAAAACAATGAAAAACTGTGAAAGTACAAGTTAAAAACAGGGAATTAAAGAGAAAGATAGTAATTTCCCCCCAGAAACCCAGGTGATACCTTGTCTCATTCAACATGATATGCTAATATCACACAGCAATGATGTTAGCCCCTGTGCATATGCAGGAAATGAACAGGCAATAGCCTCTACAAATGGTATTAACTAAGAAGATGCTACAATAAACTGGTAAGAGCCAACCTTATTGGCTCAACAGGAAATAAAAAGGGGGGTAATATATGTAAACACAAAAGTGGTTAATTCCAACTGCATCAGCCAACACCAATGATATAAACATGAAGGGTGTACAACAAAAACAGTACAGAGATTACCTCCACACGATGGAACTACTCTTCTACTTTAAAAATAGAACTCCAGAACTCAAATTATTGTCCCAATAAACATAATTAATTGGGAAGAAGATAAAACAACCACAACATAACATAATTCCATTTATATAAAAAATGGACAATTAATACTTTAAGTGCTAATTTCATAGGTTTTCTTATAAATATCAAGGACAGATTACATTTACATGAAGAATTGACAAAAGACCTTTTTTCATTCTTAGAATAAGCCATATTTGACTGGGCAGAAGAATTGGGAATTGTTATCATCTCGCTCTTGGTAATGGCATAGATAGTATGGCCACAAATTGCACCAATCTTCCTTCTTTTCGTGATTAGCAGCATGTAATAAGGTCCCAAAAATTTCAAAAACCCTAAAATAATGAGAGATTTATTAGATAATGCCAAAATGATTGAAAGGGAAAGGTGGAGAACCAAAGAAATGTTACATACCGATGATCCCATAGCAAGCTGTAACAAATTTAAGGCCACCTGTGGGCCTGTTTCCTTCATGTATCCGTCTTAACAGATCAGAACATTCAATTTCTGAGTATCTAGTGGAATCTTCAAGAATATTAAGTTCAGAAAGTTCTAATCGATCAATCTTTAATACCCTCCAAACAGTCCTGTTCTTGTCTCTTCCAATCATATAGAAATGCTGTCACATAAGGAATATACAAATGTTGCCTTAATATAGTGTAATAGAGATGGAACCCACGTAATTATAGTACAAAAGAATTTTTTGGGGAAAGAGAAGAGATTCAAAGAGAAATAGCAATAATATTCTTATCAGCATCATAGAGAAAAACGATAAAATATCTTATAAATGAAGAACTTGCTCTGAGCACAGCGACTATTTCTATGTTGAATAACAAAGGTTTGTGTAGCTTCGAAACACATTAACAGTCACTTACCAAGACCTCAAGAGTAATGAATAGCTTTATGAGATAAAAGAAAAGTCTAGCACTTCATAGGCGATGATTGCATCTAAAGAGAATTGTACACAAAAGAAAATCCAAACAGAAACTATTATTACATGAAACTTTAACCTGCTAAGCTGAATTTAGAACACTAAAAACTTCCGAGTGTTGTATGTTGGATATAGAAAATTTCTAACATGCAAATAACCAAACCGATGCTTATAATAAGAAGCAAAAAGAAATTGACGATAGAAGTGAAACAGCATAATTGAACTTCCTACAACGAATTACCAGTTCAATACACATTCATGAGCCAAAATATCCAAGTCAAGAAAAAAAATACGATATCAGAAATAAGTATGTCGAGATTTAGCAAATCACAGAGCAGCTATCAGATAAATATGAAAATCATCATAAAAAATCGAATTATACACACGTGCATATAAATATTTGGTAAATAAATCGAAAAAAAAAATATTAATCAGCCGGAGGAAACAAAAAAAGCCAAAAAAAAAAGATCAGAAGAGTTTTAGCGTTATGAAGTCAAAGAACTTAAACGAACTCCAACAGCCGTATACACAAGCTTACAAAAAAAAAAAAGAAACAAAACGAATAACATATAGGAGTGGGAAAGGGAAAATACCGAGCGAGTCTCGTAGAGTCTGAATTTCTGCAAATAACAAGGATTCGGATCGAGTCCACCATCACTGCGATTCTCGGCTGCCATTAGCTTTTTTCGATCCCGAGCCTCGAAGCTCGGGTTCACTAAAGATACAGATCAACTAAATACCACGAAAATAATAACTAAAAAAAGATCTCTCTCGATTTACAAAATTCAATATATATTATGTATTGATAAAAACACAGAAAAATAAAAACCCGCCACAAGTCACAAATTTACAATACAGAGTTCAACCTGAAGAAAAACAGGAAGATGAAAAAAATTAAAAACTGGTATAATTCTGCCAGAAAACGGCGCCACTTGCTGGAAAGTAGGGAGAGATGGAGAAGAAGATGCAGAGAAGATAACCGTACAGCTAATGGAGAAATGGATACCACAAAAAACAAACTAAACAAAATACTTATTATAAAAATATAATATGAAAACTATAAATAATCTTTTTTTTTTTAAAAAACAAATTGCAAGACGGTGGCGTGCTTTAAATTTTAATTAATTTCGGTTTTTCCACGGTAACTTTGTTTCGGTTATGATTTTGCTTTTCTACTGATGATTGGTTTGACGAGTTTTTTACGACTCGGACATGTATAGTCATTTTGACTAGGTTGAATCGGTAGCGGGGGCGGAATCTAGTGTGTGTCTGACTTCCGGTTAAAAAATAATTACTCATAATCAACATATAAGTTGGATTTAAAAGATTATCCTATAATATTTTTTAATATTTAATTTGAATATTTTAAAAAACAATATCTAATTTAAAATTATATATTATTATATCAAATATCATTAATTTTATTAAAAAATAGCGTATTATTTAGTATGTACGTATTATCAAAACTTATGCACTCATTTTTTTAGTAAATTAGGTCCTCAAATAATTATTAGAATTTAAATTTTAATTATTTGAACGAAATAAATTAAATTTAAAAAAATTATAATATTTTTATTATTCAATTTAAATTGATTCATTAATAAATTAAATATTAATGATTATAAAAAATTTAAAAATATTTAATATATAGAGATATCAAAATTCTGACGCTCATTCTTTTCTAGTTAAATCTAGAAAAATCATATATCAGAGGATAAGGTAATAAACTGAATAAATTAATATTTCTTATATAATTAAGATATCTTATCTAATTTGAACTTACTTTAAGTATATTATTTTTATCATTATCTTTGCACCCGTTGTATTTTAACTCTACAAGTAAGACGTGAGAATCAATAACTTGTATGAGTGTTCTCTTGCATTTAAACATGTTTTAAAAAATAATTATAAATATAAATTACACGGATAATTCAAGGTAATATTCATCCTATTCGTAACAAATAGAAATAAAAACATAAATTGAATTGATTTAAAAAAAAATTTAGATAAGATAAATTTATGTAAAATAAAAACAATTTAAATAGAGATTCAATTTAAGTTAAATAGATTTGATAAAATCAACATATAATTTAATTGTGATGATAAAGCCAGAATGATGTACACTTATATATTAGTGATTTAATTCTCAAAATTTACCGGATTTCTTTCTTCACGTACGGAATTAATTTATTATAAAAGATATAAAGATGAAAAATGACGTATGATAATCTCATCGTGAGTAAGAATATACTAATATACCATTCGTTGATCAACTTGATACTTTATATTGCATAATACAATATTACAGATCAGATATCCACGCTGGATTTTTGATCCATGCTTTTCTAAGCACTAGTTGCAACCCAACCACCGAGCATGAGCGAATGGCTCGTGACTGTGTATGAAATTGCGAAAACTATAAGACCTCCTAGGCTCTCACATGTGGTTAGCTGTTCCAGGAGAAGTGCTGGGAGGATTCTACTCAACATTATAAATTTCCATATAATTTAAATATTTTTATATGTTTATTAGTATTTGATTTTATATTATTAAAATTTTATATTATTTCAATTCTTAATATATTTTTCCAATGTTTGTATCTTTAATATAATATACTATTTTTGTCAATATTAGAGATGAATATATTAGTTTGAGTTTTCTTGTCGATAAGAACTCAAATTAAGTATTATACTAATTTATTTGATTCAAGTGCAAGAAAATTTTGTCTAATCTAATTTTTAGAGTAAAATCCCACTCATGACTCGATTTAACTACATAAATAAATATAACATTTGTATTCTACAAAATAAAGACTCACTAAAATAGGGAGATGAATACTATTATAATTTTATATAATTATATAAACAATAATTGTATTATAATCTAAGGTCAAAATAAAAAAATTACTTTAAATTTAAATTCAACTATATTCAGTCTCATCTAAAAAAATTATCTAAACTTAAATAAAAAAAACTACATATGTTAAATTAAAATAAATCAAAATTTGTCATATCTAAATCACATACATGTCTCAAATATGGAAAATTTTACAACGCTACACAGCTGTCGCCGTCGTATTTCTGGTGGGTCCGGAATTAGGTTTCGACTTGAATGAAACAGATTGGAGTCGCCACCGATCTTTTATTTTAAAACAAATGGGTAGATCAGATACCTTATTTATTACCTGATTTGCGTCTTACCAAATATGTGTAATTACAAATTAATTAAAAATATAAATGTAATTACAAATTAACTAAAAATATAAATATAAATTATTTAAAACAAAATATTAATTATTTTATTTCTATAATAATATTTTAAATAATTATTATATCAAATATCAATCTATAAATTAAAAATCCTAATTTCTTTTTCTTGTTTTGACGCGACGGCGACGGCGACGATGACGGTGGTAGCAGTAGTGAAAGTGACGACATCATTGGCAGCGATTATGATAACAATAATGATAGCGGTGATAATAGTGACGGTGATGACAGTAGTGAAGATGGTGGTGACAACGACGATGATGACTTTAAAGTAAAAAAAAATTAAGGTTTTTAAATTTAGATATTAATATTTTATTTAATTATTATTTAAAATAAGATTATAAAAAAGAATGTAATTAATATTTCATATTAAATATTTTTTTTATTTTTTTTTATTTTTTTTATAATTACAGATTAAATAATTTATAATTTTAAAATTTAATAAATCATATTAATGATGTTTATATGTGCGCGTCCAACGTCACATAATCATAAATATATACTCTCAGCACCACTCTCGCGACCACATCGGTTTTTTCCGGAAAAGACAAACCTTGTTTTCATTAAAAAAAAATAAATTCCCTGTTTTATATTTTTATTAATTATGTATGACAAAGTTATTTGCGAAATAAAATTTCATGAAAATTGGACGATTGAGATGGATGGCCAATTCAACGTGGCAAAGATCTCGGTCGTAGCTGGAGACGGCTGGCAAGATGGCGTGGCAAAACGTGGGTGTTGCGACACTGGGCACGTGAAATGTGCGTAGGTTTATCTCCAGCACTTCCCTAATTTGTAGCCTTGAGCATACAGTGACGCCACGTGTCTAGAATGTGATTGGTTAGTAGTGCAATAATGGATTACTACAAAGTATGTGCTTCGTCGGGATGCTCTCGCGGCCCGCGGGTGCTCCTGACCGCCAACACTACAAAATTTGCATTTAACCTCAGGTATAACTCAGCTTCCAGTTCCTATACTTTCGACACATTATAATTTAATCCTTATACTGTTATTGCAATCATTTTAATTAAACTTCTCTTAAATTGGATTATATATGTATTTTAAAAATGTTTGCTCACGTGGATAATATTAAATAATCAAATAAAAGTATTAAATAGTAGGGATGTAAACTTTATGGTTCAAAAATTACTCAGTTACTAATTCAAAAAAAGTAAAAGTCCATACTTTCAAATCGTTTTAATTTGGTTATGTAAACAATTTGTTTTCTTTTTAAGACGCCACATAATTTATTCTAATTAAAGTTATTTGAAAATGTTATAAATTATACTTTAATTACTAAATTGAAACAGTAGGTAATAAAATTTAAAATATATAAATAATATAGATATTAAAAACAAAACCAGATTTTTTTATCTGAATATAACATTTTATAATAATAAGTCTTTACATTATGTGATATAAAAGGTCAATATCATGTGTTATTTTATTAGTTTGGAAAAAAGTGTGTCCTAATAAATACACATTTTATGATTATTTTATAAAAATTCAAAATATATAATTTGAAATTGAGTTTTATAGCTTACGTTTTCTTTTTTAAGGTTTTGTTAGATTTGTATTTTTTAGGTTTAGTATTAGGATAGATACTTACTGTATCAGTATAAATCATTAAAAATTAATAGACATCGTATTAGAGGTAAATAACATGTCTATTAATATTAAAAATTATATACAAATATTATTAATATTAATTAGAATATTTACCTATTTAAACCCTCAACTTTTATTTATTTAAATTATTTATAACTTTTTTTTTCTAA